TCTATTCTTCCATTTGTATTTACACCAGTAGTTGATAGTTTTAATGTTGTTTTCTTATTTATTGGAACTGGATTAGGAACAGTTTTATATTTCTGTAGACCACGAGTAAATAAAGCACTTGATGTTGGAAGTACTGATGGGGAATATAAAAAAGGTCTTGTTGAAGGCAAAAAAGGTAAATCTAAAAAAGTTGAAGAAGAAGAAGAAGATCCAATTAAAGATATTAAGAATGCAGCAACTGGTATTGCTGTAAGTGGCATGATTGATTTTACAAAATTTGCTTCAAAATAATCCAAATTTTCTTAAAGGAAAAGGGTTTTTATTTTTGATTTGAAAAAACTATCAAGAGAAAAACTATGATTGATTAAAGATAAAAGATATAAGAATGAGTATAGTGTTTAATTCTAAGTTAAAATCAATTTTAATAGGAGGTAGTGTTATTATATTTTTCTTCTATTTTATTATATCATTATTTATTAGAGTTTGTCTTTTATAATAAATAAAAAGAAAAAAAAAAAGGAAATAACAAAGATAGCCATTTGCTATTCCAACACTTCGGCTTTTCTTACTTCCACCTCAAGTTGGATTATCAATACCAATTATTATTTTTATGTTCTTGGTTTCAATAACATTATTTTTTGCGGGAAATATATATAATAAATTACTTATTGAAAGGCTCAAAGAAGAAGAAAAAAAGAAAGTCAAATAAACATATAATAATTAAATGTTGGTTGATATATCTTTTTGGGGTTTAAATTTGGTTGAGTTTTTTGGTGGTGGTTTAAGGAAAAATGAGAAGTAAAAATCAAAATCATAAAACAAAACTGGAAAAAATAAAATTAAAGAATGCCTTCCAAAACGAAAAAAGAAGATTTAACACAATTAGTTGCACACTTAACAGATCGAGTAAGTGCACTTGAAACAAATCTTTCATTGATTTCTTCTCGTCTTATTAGATTAGAAACAAATCAGAAAGATATGGAAAAGACAATTGATAAGATTGCTAAAAATGCGAATAAAGAAGTTACACCAGTTATAGAAACACAACCAGTTATAACAAAGTATTTTTATGAACCATATCTTGATATATTAAAGAAATGGACAAAGAAAGAAATATGTCAAGTTGTTTATGATTCAATAAATGATGGATTAACAGCACATACTATTAATCATTCAATTGAAATGAAATCAAATATTATGATTTTAGTTAAAACTGATAAAGGGGAAATTTTTGGTAGTTATAATACTACTCAAGTTCCAAAATCAGAAGATAGTGGATATGGGTTTTATATAAACAAAGATATGGATTTCTTTATGTTTAGTTTAAAAGGGAATATTAAAACACCAACTAAAATTACTAAAAAGGATAAAGTTTATTCATTAAAAGTTTATTCTAATGATAATGATGAATGGGTTATTGGAACTCATTGTGGATTTTATGTTGGTGCATCACGTAATTCTTTTATTTCTAATAAATTAAAAATGTTTTATGATGGAGATATTACTTCAGATTCATTAACAGGTTCACATTTTCCAGCTACATTTGATGTATCACAAGTTATAGCTATTCAATGGAAATGAAATTCATTTCAAATGAAGTAATAGAAAAATACTAATTGAATGAATTTAAACAAAAGAAAATTTTTTTATTTTTAATTTAATAATAATAATACTTTTTAATTTAAATTCTTAAAAAATCTTAAAAAATAAAATAAAAAAATAAAAGAGAAGAAGAATGTTAAAACCAATATCAGGAGAAGAATTTATTAATTTTAGAAATATTTGTCTTAAAAATGATAATTTTACTGAATATAGTAAAGAAGGAAATACAATATGTTATCAAGGAATAAATATTAAACCAGGATATTTTTGTACAAAAGCAATAACAACTGATTTATTTGTAAAATATTCAGTTCAACAAATTTTTGATTTTTTAAATGATGAAAATTTTAGAAATCAATGGGATGCATTATTAATGAGTAGGGAAATTATTAAACAAATTGATGATTGTAATCAAATTATTCATTATTGTACAACCCTTCCAATGATTTCTAAACGTGATTATGTATATTATAAAAGTATATGGATGAGTGATGATAAAGAAGAATTTATTATTTTAAATAAATCAGTTGATATTCCTGAATGTCCTGAAGTAAATGGTTTTGTTCGAGCATTATGTGAAATGAGTGGATATATGGTTAAAAAGAATGAAAAAGGAGAAAATGTTTTTTATTATTATGCTTATAATGCTTTTGGTGGATGGGTTCCAACTTGGGTTGTTAATTCGTTAATTTCTTCTCAAGGTTATTCATTATTAAAAAAGTTGTCTGAATGTTGTGAAAAATATCCAGAATGGAAAAAAACCCATAATCCTGAGGAAAAACCTTGGAACGTATTAAAAGATAAAGTTATAATTCCTAAATAATTGATATTTTTAATTAAAATATTCTTTTTTTGGTTTTTCTTAATTCATTCTTTTTAAGATGATATTCTTTTTTTAATTCTTCTTTTTCTTTGAGTTTATTGAACAATAAATTATTTATTCGTTCTTTTTCTGAAAAATAAACTGGATCAATTTGTTTATCTAGTACTTTCTTTTTCTGTTTAAGATGTTTTACTTCACTTTTGATAATAAGATAATTTCTTTTAGAATCCTTTGTTTTAGTTTTCTTATTATTTAAAAACAAAACAATTAAAAACAATTACAAACAATATAGAAAAGTTCAGCAAGTGTTTTTTTATTTTTTTCATTCATTTCTTCTGGTTTAATGAAACATGTTTGACTAAATGGATGTTGTTTATTTAAAGAAGATGATAATGGTGTTGGATGATTTGTTTTTATAATTGGTTCACTTTTTGTTTGTAAAGGTAATGAAGTCTCATTACTTTTAGGTTGTTCTTTGTGAGTCATATCTTTTTTATTCGTTTTAATTATTGGTATTGATTCATATTCTTTAATATTTGTGTCTATTCCTATTTTATGATTTGAAAATAAAAGGAAATGAAAAGAAACAATCAGTTCATATTTTCACATCGAGTAGGTTGAGTGAAATTAGGAGAACAAAGGTCATACCTCACTTTAGCTCCTTTGAAAGTATCAAACTCTTTCATAGAAACTTCATCATTTGTTTTACCAACTAATAAGATTAATTGGTCAACATTCTTTAAAAAAAGAGGAGATTCATCACCATTTTTTTTCCAATTAGGAACATCAATTTCATCATCCAGAATTTCTCGTTTCTTTCTAGCATCAATGACTTCGGGAATAAAATGAATCCCAACCATATGTATATTGAATTGTTCTGCAATTGGTCGAACAACTTCAAGAATTCCACGTTTTGAAGGTGTTTTTACAACAACATTTGTTTGAAGAACATTTCCACCAATTCTAATAAAAGTACTTAAAGCTTTTTCTATGACAACTTTTGCATTATTTTCATATTCAGTTACATCTCCTATAATTCCAATTTTAAATTTTGTATTTCCAATTTGTATTTTATTAGCTAATTTTCTAGCAAGATTTTTGTTAAATCCATTGATAAAATACATAACAACACAAAAAACAATGACTCCTAATATTTTTAATAAGTCATTATATGATATGAAATCTTCTATCATATTTCTTTATTTATTAATTGTAGATAAGTTATTTTTAAATAAAAAAAATAAATGAAATGAAATAACATTAGTATAATTGAAATAAGTTAGTGTGATTAAGTAAGATGATAATTTATGGTTTATTTATGTTTTGATGACTTTTATTTATTGGTAAAGTAGATTGAGATTGTTTAAGAGTATGTGATTGAAAAGATTGATGAATTGGTGGATGATTTTGGATATTTTTTGGGATTTTTGATGAGTATAGATTTAATCTCAATTGAGATTTTAATTTTTTGGTTATTTCAGGATATCCAATTGGAGGAAGATCATTTTCAATCTGTTTTTTTGATCTTCTTCTTTTAATTCCATCACCACGAAGTTGAGAAGCAGCTTCAAGCATTAAAGACTTAGATGGTTTTGTAGTAACTTTTAAAAATTTAAGAATAGCATCATAACGACCACGACATTGACAATCAACTCTTCCAGGAATTTGAGAAGCAATTTTTGACCATTTTGGTTTTCCACTTCGTTCAACTTTAATTTTAGAAGGTTTACCTTTTTCCATAGCTTCAGGAGTATTAGGAAGAATAATAGAATAGATATAATTTGGGTCATATAATTTTTCAATTAATATTAAATCTTCTTCTTCAGTCCAAGATTTTCTTTTTTTAACACCAGAAGCAGCAGAATTACTAACAAAATCCCTAATTTGAGCATCAGTTCTATTAGGAATAAAAGTTGATATTTTTTTCCATTGATTAGGATATAATTTTTGACAAATGGTAACTTTAACCTTTTCAATTTGACTCCATTTTCCACATGTTTTCCTAATAAGTACTTTGTCATATCTATTCATAACTTGTTGACAAGTTCTTCCTTCAATTTCTGTTTCAACAGACTTCCAATCTCCTTTACCATATTTTTTTACAGCTTCTAATATTTTTTCATCTTCTTCTTTGCTAAATGGTCCATATTTCATATTTTCTTTCATTCTAATTTCTTGAATCTTTTTGAGAAGAAAGACATAACTCATACCATGATCTTCTGCAAATTCCATCATTTCATTTTTTAATGTAATAAATGATTCTTTATTACAAGTGATAGTAGGATTATTTAACTTTTTTGCAAATATTTTTATTTGAGAAATGATATTAGGAATTTTTTCAAGTGATGAATAAACTTGTGATTTAATGATATAATCATATTGTAATTTACAATCTAAAGGATTATGATTACCTATTTCTTCACAAATAATTTTCCAGAAATTGTCTGAAATATCAATGTTGTTATTTACTCTAAATTCGTTTTTGAACATTTCATAATAAATGACAATTGCATCACAAATAGCTCTTAAATATTTTAGGAATTCTTCTTGAGTAAATAATCTTTTATATTGAAGAGCCAAAAAAATATTTCTTCTACCTTCTAATTCAACTTGTGTTTTCTTTTGTTGTAAATATAATTCAGTTTTTTCATTATATTGAACAGGATATATTCTATTAAATTTATCAATTATTTTTTGTAATTCATCAGATGGTTTTGATCTCATTTCTTCTAAAATTGAAGTAAGATTATTATCATTCATTTCAGGATGTTTATTTTCATTTCTTTTTAATGAAATAGTAAGTGTTAATTTTGAATGTTTTGGTATTTCTTCAATTGATTCTGGTTCTTTTTTTATTTCTTTTGAAAAAGAATCTATAGGTAATTCAACTGGAGGAGGAATATTTTGATATTTATGACATTGTTTAGAATTTTGTTTATTTAATACATCTAATTGTTCTAAATTTTGTTTTGCTTTTTCTGCTTCTTCAAGTATTTTTATTTTTTGAAGTTGAGCTATTCTTCGTTTTTCTTCAAGAATACGTAATTCAAATTCTTTTATTAATCCATTACTTTCTCTTTCTTGAATCATTTGATTCCATTTTTGATTTAAAATCATTACTTTAATTTTATTTACAATATTTAACAATGTTATTCGATCTTCTTTTTTCCATTGAAATGATATTATTTTATTTGGAGTTGAAGGTGCTTTTTCAAAAAATAATGGACTATTTCCATCAATATCTGTAAAATATTGTTCTCTGATTTTGTATAATTGTCTTGGTGCATTCATAGCTTCAATAACTCTATCAATTCTTGTTTGACATTCTTTTAATGCAGAATTTACACTACAATTACATTCTTCAAGAATGGTATAATATCCATTAAGAATATTAGTGAATGTAATAAAATCAGCATCAAGTTCCATAATATGTTGTTGACTTATAAAAAGGAATTTTAGAGATTATGGAATATATTATCTATTTTTGTATCACTAAGAAAAATAAATTTTGTTTTTCTAACCCTTTTTTTTTATTTTTTTAATTTGTTTTTTTTATTTTTTATATTTTATATTTTTTTTTTTAATATGATAAAAAGCCACGTTGTGTTGAAAGAGTATGAAATGGAGGTGAGACGTGGAGACTGAAAAATAAGAAATTACTGAAAAAATAAAAAATGAAGGGATTTTGCGAAGGAGAAAGGAATAAAAAAGGCAAAAAAACAAAAGTAAAGAAAAAGAGAGAAAATAAGAAATGATGAATCAGAGAAACGTGGCAAATGATATAAGAAAGAAAAAGAAGAAAAGTTCAAACATTAAATAAAGGAATGTCAATTCAAAAGGTTCATGCTAGAGAAATTCTTGATTCACGTGGTAATCCAACCATTGAAGTAGAAATTACTACTGGAAAAGGTATGTTCAGATCATGTGTTCCATCAGGAGCATCTACTGGAGTTCATGAAGCAGTTGAACTTCGTGATGGAGACAAGAAAAGATATGGAGGAAAAGGAGTTCTTAAGGCTGTTGAAAATGTTAACACCATTATTGGACCAGCTCTTCTTGGCAAGAACGTTTTGAACCAAGCAGAACTTGATGAAATGATGATTAAACTTGATGGAACTAACAACAAAGGAAAACTTGGAGCTAATGCTATTCTTGGATGTTCAATGTCAATTTGCAGAGCTGCAGCAGCAGAAAAAGGACTTCCATTATATAAATATCTTGCTGAACTTACTGGACATAAAGAAATGACTATGCCAGTTCCATGTTTCAATGTTATTAATGGAGGAGCACATGCAGGTAATGCACTTGCTATGCAAGAATTCATGATTTGCCCAACTGGAGCTACTAACTTCCATGAAGCTCTTAGAATGGCAGCTGAAACATATCAATGCCTTAAAGTTGTTATTAAAGCTAAATATGGACAAGATGCTACTAATGTTGGAGATGAAGGAGGATTTGCACCAAATGTATCAGGAGCACGTGAAGCACTTGATCTTCTTGTAGAAGCTATTGCTAAAGCTGGATATACTGGAAAGATTGAAATTGCTATGGATTGTGCAGCATCCGAATTTTATAATGAAGAAACTAAGAAATATGATCTTGGAAAGAAGATTCCAGCTGATAAGAAAGACCCATCTCTTGTTAAGGATGTTGATGGATTAATTGCTGAATATGTTGATTATGGTAAACATTATCCAATTGCTTCAATTGAAGATCCATTTGCTGAAGATGATTGGGCAGCATGGAATAAATTCACTGTTGAACATGGTAATTTCCAAATTGTTGGAGATGATCTTTTAGTCACAAACCCAGCTCGTGTCCAAATGGCTATGGATAAGAACGCATGTAACTCTGTTCTTATTAAAGTTAATCAAATTGGTACTCTTACTGAAACATTCAAGACTATTAAGATGGCACAAGAAAAAGGATGGGGAGTTATGGCATCACACAGATCTGGTGAAACTGAAGATACTTTCATTGCTGATCTTGTTGTTGGACTTAACTGCAAACAAATCAAGACTGGAGCACCATGCAGATCTGAAAGACTTTGCAAATACAATCAACTCATGAGAATTGAAGAAGAACTTGGAAACATTCCATATGCTGGAAAGAACTGGAGAAATTCAACTGCTTAAGATAAATTAAATTTTATCTACTTATTTTTCTTTTTATTTTATTTATATATAAATGAAAGTTAATTTGTTTCAATAGAAATAATAAAATGAAAATATAATTGAATTTCATAATTATGATAAATTGAAATTATTTTTATTAGAAGAAACATAAAGAGAATGTTGTTGTATGAACATTTTATTAATTATTTTTTATTGTAAGATAAGTAGTTAAAAAATGGAAGAAAATAAAATACTATTAAGATGTTTAATTAAATTGATAAACTCTTGCTTCATAAGGTTTTAATAAAAATTGATTTATTGGTTCTTGATTATCAACTTGATAATTAGAAATTATTAAATGTTTATTTTGAATTTGAATATCAATAGGAAGTATAAATTCTATTGGAGTTTCAAAGAAATTAAGAATAACAATCCATTTTAATTGATTTAGTGTTTTAATATAGGCAAAGATATGTTCATCATCTTTTAAAATCATTTGAACTTCACCATAAGGCATAATAGGATTTTCTTTTCTAAGTTTTAATAATTGTTTATAATAATTAAAAACACTGTTGGGATTTTGCATTGCTTCTTTAGCATTAATTGTTTTATAATTTGGATTTATTTTAAGCCAAGGATTTCCTGAAGTAAATCCAGCATTTTCAGAGTCATCCCATTGCATTGGAGTTCTAGCATTATCTCTTCCAACTTCAGAAACTCTTTTTAAGAATTGGTCTAAAGTCATTTCATGAGTTTGAGTTAATTCCTTCCATTTTCCAAAGATTTCACAATCTTGATAATCATCTAATTTATCAAAATAAACATTGGTCATTCCTAATTCTTCTCCTTGATAAATATAAGGAGTTCCTTCTAATGTATGAAGTAAAGTTGCAATCATTTTAGCACTTTCAATTCTATATTTTGTATCATTTCCCCATCTACTTACTTGTCTTGGTTGATCATGATTATTAAAATATAATGAATTCCATCCACAATTATGAAGTGTAACTTGCCATTTTTCAATATTCTTTTTTAATTCAGTTAATTTCCATGGAACACTTATCCATTTATCACCATTTTTATATCCTATATTAACATGTTCAAATTGAAATAACATTTCAAGCTCATGACGTTCTTTTCCTACATATTGTTGAGCTTGTTCTGGTGTAACACCAGGTGTTTCACCAACTGTTAAACAATCATAATGACTTAATACTTCTTTATTCATTTCATTTAAAAATTCATGAACTTTTGGTCCATTAGCAAAATAACGAAATCCACTTGCTAATCCATCTAATCCAACAGGTGAATCATTAGGAAATCCTTTTACTTTAGATATTAAATTAATTACATCCATTCTAAATCCATCAATTCCTTTATCAAACCACCATTTCATCATTTTATAAATAGATTGTCTTACTTCAATATTTTCCCAATTTAAATCAGGTTGTTCTTCAAGAAACAAATGAAGATAATATTCTTTACGTTCTTCATCATATTTCCATGCACTTCCACTAAAAAAACTTCTCCAATTATTTGGTTTTTTTGACCAAATATACCAATCTTTTTTCTCATTATTTCCTTTTTTTGATTCAATAAACCATTGATGTTGATTACTTGAATGATTAACAACAAGATCCATAACAACTTTAATTCCTGCTTCATGCATTTTAAAAAGTAATTCATCAAAATCTTTCATTGTCCCAAATTTTGGATTAATTTCCTGATAATCCATAATATCATATCCATTATCTGCATCACTTGTACTATAAATTGGATTTAACCAAACAATAGTTATTCCTAATTCTTTAAGATATGGTATTTTCTCTATAATTCCTTTAATATCACCATATCCATCACCAGTGGTATCTTTAAAACTTCTACAATAAATTTGATAAACAACACCTTCTTTCCACCATGTTTTATCAATATTCATTATATTAAATGTTTTATTTAAGATGATTAAAACAAATTTAATTCTTATTAACAAATTAAATCCTTCTTTATTATTAAAACAAAAATGATTTTATAATAAATAAATTATACATCTATTTCATTTTGTTATTATCTTTTTATCTTTCTTTTTCAAGACCAAAATCAATTTGAACACAATTTGGTATTTCTGGTGTTGAACTTATTTCTGGTAATTCACTTGAACTTTTTTGTTTCAAATGAGTTGTTAATAAACTGATTTTAGGACGTTTAATACAATCAAATAATATATTATGAGTAAATGATAAATATGAAAGACAATATAATGTAAAACATAGTGCTTGTAAAAGAATAGATAAAATTAATAGTAATAAACTATTTATAATATGAAATATATTTAACCATATTCCTACAATACCTATAATACAAAATGCTAATGTACTAAATCTAACTGGTCTACAAATTAATATTAATTGTTTCCATGGTGATGCAATAAAAAGTAATGAACTATATAATAATAGTTTTGAAATAATATATACCATCCCTAATATTACTGGATATTCAACATATAATCCTGTTAATGGAAGTGTTAATAATAATGCCGTTAATCCTATTAAAAATGATATAATAAAGAAAATAAATCGTATCATTGGATGTAATTTTATACAACATAATAAATATTTGTCTTCTGATATAAATAATTCATTCATTGTATCTCGATGAAATGTAATTATTCCTTCTTGTTTATTATTCTTTTCCTTTATTTCCATTATATTTTATTAGTTCATTCTTAAAAAACTATTCTTTTATTTTCTTTCTTCATTTTTTCTTTTTTATCTTATCTTTCTTTCACCTTTCTTTATATTAAATCTTATTTCTCTTATTGATGATATTCTCTTCTTTTGTATCTTCTCTTTATTATTTTCTCTTACTGAAGTCTATTGTATATTAACTTTTATTCTCTTTTCTTTTTATTTATTTTTTCTTCTCACTTATTTTCTTTTAATAAAGATTGTTGATTATTTGTTGAGTTATGAAAGGTTCTAAGAAGCCAAATTAAATAGAATAATATAACAAAAAGTCTCAAACATAAATTAACAACATCCATAACTAGTTTGTTGAGAAGAAATATCTTCAATATGAAGATTTTCATTAGAAGAAATTGTCTCGTCTTTTTGATTTGATTCCATCACAGCAGCAATCATTTCATTGACTAAGTCTTCAACTCCTTCAAAAGTTTTAGCTGATGTTTCTGTATAAATTAAGCTATGTCTACGTGCAAATTCGAGTGCATCTTCTTTTGAGACTGCACGTTCAAGATCAATTTTATTTCCAACACAAATTATAGTGTCAATTTCACAATTTCCTTTGACGTCATTTAACCAATATTCGAGTTGTTCAAATGTTTCTTTTCTTGAGATATCATAAACCATAATCACAGCATTAGATTTTCTATAATAGCTTTGTGGAATAGAATGATAACGTTCTTCACCACTAGTATCAAATAAACTTACTAAAACCTGTTGTTCTTTGTACGTTCTATTAAATTTAATAAATTCAGCACCAATAGTTGCTGAAGTTTTTTCAAAAACTCCTTTAGAAATTACATTACAAATTGAAGATTTACCTACTGACGATTCTCCAACAAGAGTAACTTTTATCTGTTTGTTTGAAGTCATTTAAGTGATGATGAATTTATTATTTTTTTCTTTTTGATTTTAATTTTTTTTCAGTAAAAAAAACGATAAAAAACAAATTGATTTTTATATTTTTAAAAGACATAAAAAAGATCTTGAAATTATATAGAATAAATGGAATCACAACCAAAACTTCCTTTTAAACAACGAGTTTCTTTTGAAGAACGTAAAGCATTTGCTATTCAATTAAGACAAAAGAAACCAAATTATGTTCCACTTGTTGTTGAAAGTGATGGAACTTCAAATGCCATTGAATTAAAGAAAGATAGATTCTTTATTCCTGAAGATTCAAAAGTTAGTGATTTTGTTAAAGTCTTAGTTGATAAATACATTGAAACTGATGGGGAAACTCCAATTTCAACTGTTTCTGTTAAAATTCAAACACCAAGTAAAGCTATTCAACCATCAAATGAAGATACTATTGGTTCACTTTATGCTATGTATCAAGAAGAAGATGGGTATCTTTATTTCATTGTTTACAGAGAATCTGTCTTTGGAAATTAAGTGGTTGTTTCTTAACTACATTTTTTAATAAGTTTTAAAAAATAAATTTAGTTTCGCTAAATATTTGAGTTAAGTTATAATCAAATCAATTAGTAATATTGACATATTTATAAGACATTTAAAATTTAAAAACACTAATTCGACATTTAATATTTTTTTTTTTTAAATTAAATTTTAAAGATATTATTTAATTAGTTATATTATATTATTAATTTTATAGTAAGTAACTTTTTTATTTTGACTCTGTTTATTTTATTTAACAGTCACTTTTAACTTTTGTTTATAAATTATTCATATCTAAATAACGACAAATCAGATTTATTAGCAAAAGCTTTAAAGTGAATAATGAATAACCAATTATTCATTGTTTATCTAATTAATTGTTTCGTAGCAAAAGTTATAAATTATTCATGGTTATAAATGTTCAGTCTCAATAGTAATAACTAAGTTATACTTTTGGTTTGAAAAAAGGGAAGGGGTTATAAGAAATAGGTTGATTGAATATACTTGTACAAAATAAGATTTAAGTAATATTACTACCACGTTTCTGGACAAACAAAAAAAGTCAATTAAACATTATAACTCTCTTACATTCCATTCAAGAGAAATGTCATTATCATTTGTTTGTGATGTCAAAGACATTGTTTGGTGACACACAGGACAAAATTTAGATTGGACGTTCCAATTTAAAATGCAGTTTTTATGAAATACATGATGGCACTGTAAAATAACACCTGTTTCAGTTACACTTTGGCATATTACACATAACTCTGGCTGGTTTAGATGCACTTCTTTGATACGAATTAGAGTAATCATTGTTGGGAATTGTCTTAACAATGTAAATGTATCTTTCAAGCAAAGACAAAAACTAGTAACAGAACGAACGAGAAATATGTTTATGTGAATGGTGAG